GAATATTTGAATCAGTTCTAATGAGATGGATGAAACTGGAGCCCATTATACAGAGCGAAGTAAGCCAGAAAGATAAAGACCATTACAGTATACTAACAAAATGGAAAAAAAAAAAAAAAGACCCTGAATAGCCAAAGCAGTCTTGAGAAAGAAGAATGAAGCTTCCTGACTTCAGATTATACTACAAAGGTACAGTCATCAAGACAGTATGGTACTGGCACAAAAACAGAAATATAGGCCAATGGAATAAGATAGAAAGCCCAGAAATAAACCCATGCACCTACAGGTACCTTATTTTTGACAAAGGAGGAAAGGATATACAACGGGGCAAAGACAGCCTCTTCAATAAGTGGTGCTGGGAAAACAGGACAGCTACATGTAAAACAATGAAAGTAGAATGCTTCCTAGCACCATACACAAAGATAAACTCAGAATGGATTAAAGACCTAAATGTAAGACAAGAAACTATAAAACCCTTAGAGGAAAACATAGGTAGAATGCTAGACAAATCAAAGCAAGATCCTCTATGACCCATGTCCTAGAGTAATGGAAATCAAAACAAAAGTAAACAAGTGGGACCTGATTAAACCTAAAAGCATTTGTACAGCAAAGGAAACTGTAAACAAGGTGAAAAGACAACTCTCAGAATGAGAGAAAATAATAGCAAATGAACCAACTGACAAAGGATTAATTTCCAAAATATACAAGCAGCTCATTCAACTCAAAACCAGAAAAACAAACAATCCAATCCAATCAAAAAGTGTGAAAAAGACCTAAACAGACATTTCTCCAAAGAAGACATACAGATGGCTAACAAACACATGAAAAGATGCTCAACACTGCTTATTATTAGAGAAATGCAAATCAAAACTACAGCAAGATATCACCTCCCACCATTCAGAATGGCCATCATCAAAAAGTCTACAAATGGTAAATGCTGGAGAGGGTGTGGAGAAAAAGGAATGTTCTTGCACTGTTGGCGGGAATGTAAATTGATACAGCCACCATGGAAGATGGTATGGAGATTCCTTAAAAAACTAGGAATAAAACCACCATATGACCCACCAATTCCACTCCTAGGCATATACCCTGAAGAAACCAAAATTGAAAAAGACACATATACCCCAATGTTCATTGCAGCACTATTTGCAATAGCTAGAACATGGAAGCAACCTAGATGTCCATCAACAGATGAATGGATAAAGAAGTTGTTGTATATATACACAATGGAATATTACTCAGCCATAAAAAGGAACACATTTGAGTCAGTTCTAATGAGATGGATGAACCTAGAGCCTATTATACAGAGTGAAGTAAGTCAGAAAGAGAAAGACAAATATCGTATACTAACACATATATAAGGAATCTAGAAAGATGGTACTGAAGAATTTATTTGCAGAGCAGCAATGGAGAAACAGACAGAGAACAGACTTATGGACATGGGGAGAAGGGGGGAGAGGGTGAGATGTACAGATAGAGTAACATGGAAACTTAATATGTAAAATAGCCAATGGGAATTTGCTGTATGTCTCAGGGAACTCAAACAGGGGCTGTGCATCAAACTAGGGGGTGGAATGGGGAGGGAGATTGGAGGGAGTTTCAAGAGGGAGGGGACATATGTATACCTCTGGCTGATTCATGTTGAGATTTGACAGAAAACAACAAAGTTTTGTAAAGCAATTATCCTTCAATTAAAAAAATAAATAAACTTTAAAATTTTTTTTAAAAATAGGATGTTAACGAATTGCTGAGTGTTCCCATACAGACAGGGGATAGATGAAAGTAAGAGTGCAGCTGGAGGTAAAATTAGAAAAGATCACAAAGAGAATAGGGAGCCATCTGAAAGTTTGAGGGGGTAGCAGCAGCATTTCTGGTAACCACAAAGAGCATTCATGGGTGAGTGTGAGAGCAAACACTAGGAGAGTACTGAGGAGGCTACAACAATCACAGGAATGTTAGATGATGGGTCTGAAATTAGGGGAGAGAATTGAGAGTTATTTAGGAAAAATAATCAACAGAACTTGATAACTGATTATGGAGAAATTGGTAATCTTACAGTGACTTCTAGCACAGGTCATTGGATTGTTTATATTACCACAACCAGAAATATAGGCTAGTTCTGGCCCACATTAAAACATGCTCTAGATTCATTTATTGCCCCAAACTCTGTTATTTAAAACCATCCTTCTACACCCAAGCCTCCAGTTTAATGCAGGGCCTCATTGACTCTCACATGTCTCCTAGGTGGCCCCCCAAGCAAACCTCTATCCCAATCCAGTATTTCTCAAAGTGAGCTCTTTATTCTAACTAATCAGGATGTCCTGTGGTACTTGATAAAAATGCAGAATTCTTGGCCTTATCCCAGACCCCATGAGGGACAAAATTTGCATTTTGATACTTTCAACATTGAGAACCATTAGCCTGATCCAGCCTATCTACTACTATCAAATTTATTCTTATTAAACTCTGCTTTCTTCATGTCACTTGCTTGTTCCAACTGATTTCTAATCTTCTACCTGGACTTTAGGATCTTCTTTTAACTTGATTTTTTAATCTTTCCAATATACAGTTTTGTTCTTTACAAAATCAACCTCATTTCTCATTTCTTCCTTCTCGCCCACCTGCCGTACCCCCTCCCAAATACAATTTGGTTCTCTTTCCAAGCTTTTGCATTGAATATTACTTCCACAATCTGAGAGCTTTTCCATCATTTCCCCTCCCCTGTCAAATCCCAGCCACCATATCCTGAAAGTCTAGAATTTGCATGGATCTTGCTCTAATTACTCTAACCCAACTTATGTCTCCTGCCTAATACATAATATTGCTATGGCACAATTAGCAGGCACAACTTAAGGTTTGATTATTTCAACATATATTATTGCAATGATAAGGTTTTATTCTTATTTTCCAGTCATTAGTGCACCTAGCACAGTTTTTGGTACACAATAAGCACTAAAGAAATATTTGCTGATTTTGGAAATCATCCCAAAAGATGGATGGCATTTTTCCCCCAATGTCACATGAATCTGTTAGGTAGTTAGAATAGGAAACAGGAGTCCAGAATGGCGGTGGCTAAAAGATAAGGAAGGGAAAAGCCATGAAAATAAAACAAAGGAAGGTTCGAGGACCCAAGTGAGGACCTCAGGTAGAACAAACAACACTCCTGGCTAGCCTAATTTACATAGGCGGGCCCAGGGGGAGAAAAAAACATATAGAAAGAGGAGCCTGAGGGTGTCTCTCTCTCTCTCTTGATGGATTTCCCTGCTATTTCCTAAATAAAATGGAGCTGTAACATGGAACTGTAACACTGACTTGTCCAAGAGCTATAACACGGTCTGTTCATGACCTGAGAGCTATAACAGGGTCTGTCCAAGAGCCGAGAACTGTAACACACCAAGGGCTTTATGTCCATCACTCCAAATCTTTGTTGTGACCAGACAGAACCAAGGAGCATACACTTGCCTGACAAATCCAAAAAGACAAACAGAGGACTTCATTTTTTAAAAGTGAAACAAATGTAAATATATTCACTATTCTAGACACCTGGTGATGTTACAGATAATGTTTCCTGGGGCAGGGGGCGGGGGGGTGTGTGTGGATAAATTGGGAAATTGGGACTGACATACATACACTATGATGGCAGTATGCATGCTCAGTTGTGTCTGACTCTTTGCGACCCCATGGACTGCAGTCCACCAGACTCCTCTGTCCATGGGACTCTCCAGGCAAGAATACTGGAGTGGGTTGCCATGCCTTCCTTCAGGGGATCTTCACAACTCAGGGATCGAACCCACATCTCCTGCGTCTCCTGCATTGGCAGGTGGATTCTTTATCACTGTGCCACCTGAGGAGCCCATATACATACTAGTATATACAAAATAGATAGCTTATAAGAACCTGCTGTATAGCATAGGAAACTCTACTCAACACTCTGTAATGGTCTGTATGAGAAAAGAATCTGAAAAACAGTGGATATATGTATATTAATAACTGATTTACTTTTCTGTACATCTGAAACTAACACAACATTGTAAATCCACTATACTCCAATAGAAATTAAAAAAAAAAAAAGATAATGTTTCCTGGCCTGTTTTCTAAATACAGACTGCTTAATCATGAAGGCAAGGTAATTACAAATAGCTCTTAATTAAAATACAGGCCACTTTTGGTGTACTGATGTAATAGTGTATCATGTAATTGTGGCACTGCAATATGGTGTCTCGTGTATATAACATTTAGATCAGCAGTCCTCAACCTTTTTGGCACCAGGGACCAGTTTCATGGAAGACTATTTTTCCACAGACTGGGGTAGGTGAGGATGAGTTCAGGAATATTCAACCACATTGCATTTATTGTGTACTTTATTGCTAATCTAACGCCATCGCTGATCTGACTGGAAGTACTGATTTGCGGCCTGGAGGTTGCGGACCCCTGTTTAGATGACAGCAACTGAAAGAACCTTAAAAGATAATGCAAGCCAATCACTTCAATTTATCTACTTAATAACTGAACCTCAGAGAAATTGTATGACTTGCCCAAAGTCACAAAACTGATGAGCAGCACCCAGCAAAGATAAGCACCCAGGCCTCCTGACTGAACATCAAAGGTTGCTTTCATTACACCACGTGCTCAGAGATACTAAAGTCAAAGTGAGATGCTTCAGTAAGAATTCCTGTTAGCATAAATGAAACTTTTAAGAGTCTCTCCCTGCTATCCTGAAAAACTGAGGTAAAACACACCTCAGAATCGTAAGGACTGACACAGGCACAGTTCCAAAAAAAAATTTTAAAAGAAAACTTTCTAAGACAAAATATACAATCATAGTGCAGCTCTAAAGTATTTCCCAAAGCCATAGGAAAAATACTTACAAAGTTAAATTCTAATCATGTGATCTTAACATTCATCTTACTACTTTGGTAAAATACACACCAAAAGAAGAACCGAACACATAAACTACTAGAAGCAAAAATCACTCAATCTCCAAAAGCACAAATTCACATCTAAGGGTAAAACGCATCTTTGGTACTCACCGTAACTTTACTTCCAACTATCTGCATGCAGAGGTCAACGGAGAGTAGTTATGGTGTAAAAAAAAAAAAAAACAAACAGCAACAGTATTAATAATCAGAAGCTTTTCACAGAAGTGTTTAGTAAATTAGTAAATAGCTACCTCTATGTGTACTTTTAATATTTTAGGTCTAGAAGTTAATACATCAGTATTAATTTCTACCATATTCCAAAAATGTATAAAGTCGGCAGAATAAAGATTCCCAAATAAAATTATTACCATTTGAGGATTTTTTTTTTAACTTTTCTGTAATGGGCTTCTCAACTAGTTGTAGTGTAAATATCAAGTAATGCAAGATTAAGTGTAATCAGGCATTGGATATTTTATCAGCCCACAACCTCTCAAAAAGTTATCATGAGAAAATTGAATTTTATTCTAATATTGTTTTTTTTTTCCTTTTTTCTTTCCTTTACTATTAAGCTTGAAATTAGGTATTTTAGAATATAAATGTTACACTTAAAGTCATGTGTTTTAAGTTAATAAATAAACTTTAGGTTGAAAACTGGAAATTTTATATTGCTATGAATTTAAGGTTTAAAATATTGTTTTATATTATACTTGAAAATTACAAAGAAGATAGATTGCTTATGCTTCTAGTTTTCTAGGTCATCCTAGCATTTCTATTATAACAACACAGTTTTCTATATAATGTGAAGACAAAGAAGCAGTTTGTATTTAAATATACTTATTCAGAAGGAGGAAATAGTTCAAAAATTACAACCTCCATTGAGTTTTTCTTATGGTGAAGAAATAAGAGAATTCCTAAGAATTTGTGCTTAAGAAGGCAAGAACTAAAATCATAGTCCTAAATTATAATTTTATGCCAGAATCCAAATATAAATCATTGTTATCAGATTCCTACACTTGAATATCAAGCAATGTTCAAAAAAAGAGTTCATCCATAATCTAAAACTATTAATCTGATAGCACATATTATCAATACATGTTCTAATTATTAGCTAGTACTTTAAAAATAAAAATAAAATATAATGGAAATCCCAATAAGAATCCTAAGTTTAACAGGATACTACAAGATACAAAAATAAATGATAGTTTCCTGATTAATTATTTCAGAGGAATCCATGAATCTCCAAATAGAAAAGCAGCTTTCTTAAATATTCATTCAACAGACTATCTACAGACAGTGACTATTTAGTTGAATAAAAGCCTCTGTGGTGCCGTTAGCAGTCTTCTGAATTGAAAGATATGCTATTGACCTAAATTATTTCCTCCCACCAAAAAGACAGAGGTCTTAAAAAAAGAAAAAAAAAAAGACAGAGGTCTTATTTGTCCCGTGTTTATTTACCACAGACATGAAATAAAAAAAAAAAAAGAAGAAGAAGAAGAATTGCAAGCCTGTCTCAACAATTTAAGCAGGTCTATACTATTCTGATTGCAAAATGATCGCATTTAGTTAAAGCATGTACAGCAAACAGATTAGATGAGCCAAGAAAAGCTAAAAGAAACTAGTCTGATCGTGTTTGGGTTCAACTGTTTCACCTTATCTAGGTGATGTCTGGCAAAGACTTGAGAAAGAAAATACCTGATAGTGGCAAAGGCAAAACCATTAATACATGTATGTGTGTGTGCTAAGTCACTTCAGTTTTGTCTTTCTCTGTGTGACCCTATGGACTGTAGCCTGCCAGGTTCCTCTGTCCATGGGACTCTCCAGGCAAGAATACTGGAGTGGGTTGCCATGCCTTTCTCTAGGAGATCTTCCTGACCCAGGGATCAAACCCATGTCTCTTATGTCTCCTCCACTGGCAGGCAGGTTCTTTGCCACTAGTGCCACCTGGGAAGCTAATGCATGTATACACACATACAAAAAGATATACGACAACTCTTAACTGCTTATGATATGTGTGTGTGTGCTTAGTCACTCAGTTGTGTCCGACTCTTTGCAACCCCATGGACTGTAGCCCGCCAGGTTCCTTTGTCCATGGGGATTCTCTAAGCAAGAATACTGGAGTGGGTTGCCATGCTCTCCTCCAGGGGATCTTCCCAACCCAGGGATAGAACTTAGGTCTCCTGCATTGCAGATGGATTCTTTACCATCTGAGCTGCCAGGGAAGCCTGCTTATGATATGCGCCAATCTGAAAATATTTAGCGATGTATTTGGTATCACTATTTTAAATTATTTGCTACTGAGAGTTTTTTTAATCAATGCCACCTTTCAATGTATCTTCAAAAAATGTAACTTTACATATTTTTAAATCTCAACCTCAAAGACTGTGATTTAAGTTAGAAATAAATTAGTTTCTTAATATGGTCATAAGGACACTGACATCTGGCAAACTAATGTTCGGATTTCAGTGACTAATTTTTTCCTCATAAACATCTTTGCACGTGTGCTCAGTCATGTCCAACTTTTTGACCCCATGGACTGTAGCCCACCAGGTTCCTCTGTCCATGGGATTCTCAAGACAAGAATATTGGAGTGATTCCCTTTTCCAGGGGATTTTCCTAACCCAGGGATCGAACCTGCATTTCCTGCTTGGCAGATTGTTTACTATCTGAACCACCAGGTAATATCCACATAGACATCTATATATACTGTTAAAATGTAACATGCATGATTCCCTCTAAATCACTGATGTCTTGTGCCTCTCAGGATTATGAATTGGTATGACAATGTTGCAAGTTTTTTTTAACTTGCGTTTTTCATTTTATTTAAAATTCACTGACACTGTGTGCAATATACCATGACAGCTGCTGGCAATGTGGCAGGCATGTTGGGGTGCAAACATGAAAGTGTCACATTGCTGCCTTGAGGAATGTAAGTTTTGGGGACGGGAATCTGACGAGGAGGAAGACCATGGGAACCACGCAGGGCAAAGGCAGGGACGCTGAGAGTGCAGCTGCTCGGTGATTGTTTGGGGGCAGAGAAGCACAAAGCTTTGAACGGGCATGGGTTTGGAGTGATGCCAGGGTGAAGGTGAAGAGAACAGGAACAGGCTGGGTGACATGAAGCCACTGATGTTCGGTAGTGAGTTGGGCAGTAGTGAGAAGGGCGGGGAAGCCAGAAGCTGTCACACTGAACAGCCCAGTGAGTGCACGTTGCAATATTAACAAAGCTTGGTTTTCCACTTCTGAAAACTTATGTTGGTGCTGTGAAAAGAAAGACTCTTCCAGATTATCTGTGGCTAAATTATCTACATGTACCCAGGCCTCCCTGGTGGCTTAGATGGTAAAGAATCTGCTTGCAATGCAGGAGACCCGGGTTTGATCCGTGGGTTGGGAAGATCCCCTGGAGAAGGAAATGGCAAACCACTCCAGTATTCTTGGCTTGGGAAATACCAGGGACAGAGGAGCCTGTAGGGCTACAGTCCATGGAGTTGCGAAGAGTCAGAAATGACTTAGCAACTAAACAACAAGATCAAGACCATAACCACACTTGTTACAGTAAGCAAGAGTCCAGTTCTAGCAGAGAAGAGACTCTTTTCCACTCCCTTATTAAGTCCTTTCATCACTGACAGAGTTATTCAAGGTACTTTTACCTTTGCATTCACACAACATTTTCTATTACGGAATTTGAAGAGGAAAAACCTAAGCAATAATTTTCATCATTATCTTTTAATTTCTTTTATATTCTCTTATCCCAGGCTAATTTTGACATGATGAGTTACACAACAAAAGACTCTCCTTTGCTTTAGAAACAGGCTTTGTGTCCAAACCCATGTATTAGTTTCATCTTGCTTTACTGTCCTTCCCACAAACCCAGGAGAATGACGGATAACACTTATTGAGTGCTAATTTTGTTTTTCAATTCCATGTAAAATGACTAATGCCGGTGTTAAAGGGGGAAATGTACAATTTATGTTTAAATTTAACTATAATTTTCACATGTTTTACACATGACTTATGATAAAACATTTTTTACCAGGGACTCTAGTCCTTAAATTTGCTTTTACTTCAAGATAAAAGTTTTGACTATTTGCAAAACATTTTCATAAAGCAGTGGTTACAATCATATCTACTTTAAATGTGGAAGCATTTTTAATCAGTGTGTCAATATAAAGAAAAAATAAGCATAAAAGAGTATGACATGCAAAGTATACTTAAAGCCTAATAAAAGCCAGCAGGACAGAAACCTTAGTTACACATAGATAAATGGTTATAGGTTACATTATAATTCATGCAAATTTTATTGTGATGATCACGAAGAGATCACAAGAGATGAGAGGATGGTTTGTCATTAAATGGTATCCCTCTCACCTTCAAAAGGAAATAACATATGTAATTTTATTTGTTTTCACCACAGAACACAGTACTAACGACTGTCTCTCCAAAGTGAGAAAGCTTTAAAACATGCTTATCAATAGGCTTTCTTTCATCATATTTAGTCCATGAAAAATACAAGCAAATAAAACATATAACCTTAGAGCACTAATGAAAGTTCTATACGCATGTCAAGTGACCCTATGTGTGCTAAAGGAAACAAATAAAGATCATATACTAAATAGTTATTTGTATCGATTTTTAGACTAATGCCTTTAGTATAGAGTTTTCATGTCTTTTGAGAAAATTTCAATTTCCATTTTTCAAATAAATCAATTCAAGAGAGCTCAGCCAACGTTTACCCCAAGTTTAGCATTTTAATCTGAAAAATGAGTATATAAATCAGTGTGCTTTTTTTTGGTCAGTTAAAGAGGAAACAATACAAAGATAAATGAAAACAAGTTCTACATAGAAACTGAGTCAAAATCAAAAGGTTAAGAAGTAAGAGCTTCACACAATCTTCATTATATTCAGTTCCACTTATGCAAACAAAAACAACAACAAATGAGCCAGAGACACTAACAAAATCTTGCCATTAAAATCAGCACATAATTATTCATATATAATTATCTGTACTTTGCACCCAGATATAACTATATAGATTTACTAGTGTATTTGCCTTTAGGTATTTGAAAAATAACACTGAATGTACACCCTGCATTTCCTAAAGCATTTTACTGTGAACAATAACTTGAGTGCAAAAATGAGAAGAGATTCATCAGAATTTCAAAGTAAAACCCTATGCCTCACCTAATTCTATTGAAAATGACGCTCAAGGCAAATTTCACTTATCACTTGAAACACATTTCTGCCCTTGGATACCAGAAGCAAATTAAAAAACATGCTGTTGTTCTGCTCTGGCAGAGCTGCAATGCATTATGTTTAAATAGTTCAGCATTCAGATTTAGCTTACTTAAAGTACAATATGGAATCAATACAATTGTAGAATTCAGACAAAATGCATCAGTAATTGCCACTGCGATTACTGTACTGAAACAGCATTAATAGGATAGCCAAATAATTTTAGAACATATTTTGCCAATGAAGAACTATTCACTAATCAACTTTTTAAATTTAAAATATGTATGCCTTAAATGTAAATGTATGTGTATAATAAACACGTCACACAAACATAAAATCACTGTGGTTTTTTTTGTGTATATATATATACATATATATACATACAACATATGTATGTTATATATATACACATACATAGTGATTTTATAAACTCTATGAAAAGCTTCTTCTTTACAGAAATGTAAAAGATACAGTCCACTATTTCAAAAAATATTTTTTTACCTTACAAAAATAAATCAAACTTTAGACTCTTTTTGGAAGCACTTTAGGAAATAAACAAAGCAATATGTTCCACTAAAACACAAAGTTTTTCCTGCTGCAGACAAGCCTTTTTAATGAATCCTAATTTTAATTCTTTTGAGACTCACACAGATTTCATTAAAGTTCCTATTAAATACCTTCCTTTATGCTAAATTAAGCTGTACAATAACAATTATGAGCTAATTTATATAAGTAGCATCACAAAAAATAAAAACAAACTGCTTATTAAAAAAATTGCTATAAATTTCAAATAAGCAAATACCAGACATATAACTTTAATGTAAACTCAGTTAAATCTTGTGATTAGGCTATGTTTGTCCTGCCTCAAAATCTGAAGTGTTCCTATAACAAATTGTATATTAAGTGGAATAAGTACAAATTGCTGCTATTTGTTAGTAAGTGCACAAAACCTCAGCTCAAAAATTTAACCAGATTAACTCAGAGCCAACTATTATTAGTCTGTTTTGTTTATAAGAATGGAAATCTCTCTTTAAGAGCAGTTTTGAAATATATATAAAATGTATTAAAGTACCTATATATGCTTCTATCATGAAGTCTATATAAGTACACTGAGGCAAAAACTTGGAGATCTGAAGTTTGTTTCTTTTAAGCAGATAATGCTAAGCTCATTATATGGATGCTGGAAGAGTCTCACTACTTACAGATTTGGCAGTAGCAGAAATATACTGGACAACCATCTCACGCTTGGTGGTAAAATCTTTGTTTCGTAAAGGAGCTTTTCGCTCTTCATTAAGATTCATGTCCTCCTGTTAAAAAGAATATTTATTAAAAAAAAGAATATTTATTGTATTAGCAAAATTCTGCTTATGAGTTTCAAAGGTGCTTAATAAGTATTAAGCAACAAAGTTCTACTGTATATCACAAGGAACTATATTCAATATCCTATAATAAAATATAAGAGAAAAGGATACGACAAAGAATATATATGTATGACTGAATCACTGTGCTGTACAGCACAAATTAACACAACATTGTAAATCAACTACACCTCAACAAAATAAACTTTAAAAAAGAAAAAGAAAAAAATTAATGTTCTCTGTATTAAAATAGTAAGTCATGCTCTGACTATCAACAACCATCATTTTTTGGCTCCTTCACTATTATTTTTCACTCTATATACCCTAATGTTATATAAATTTTACCATATATTTATGGTTCATATTGCTACCTACTCAATGAGTAGAAACAAGAAAAACTTTTTAACTATTCCACAGAATAAACTGGCAGTTTATAGCATAGATATACATCATTCAGCCTTAGCAAAGTTATTTTTTCACCCTGATAGCAAAAATAAACAAATAAACACTTTACTACTTGGCGTATGTTCCCTTAGGATAAATATTATGTAGAAGAGCAAACATAATTTGTAAATTATAGGAAATATATATCTACAATATGTCACTGAAGAAAGATTCATGAGAAGTTGCTGAATTTGAGGGAAAAAATCAGAAACATAGTTACCTGCATTGGGATAACAAAGACCACTAACTGGAAAGAAAAATATTCACTTACATCAACACATCATTTTGAGGTTCAATAAGCTTTGATTTGGTTGGAGATGTTCCTTTATATTGTGTTACAAAGACATAGAACATTTTCACTAGATAAATCATTTTTTCTTCATTTTGAAACTCATGTTACCCCCGAAACATATTAAGACACACTTGAAGGGTCATAAAACCAAGTTGGAAAAGCCTACACCTCCAAAATCAATGTCAAATGAAAAGACAACATACAGAATGTATGAAAATGTTTACAAGTCATACATCTGATATGGGTCTTGTATCCAAAGTATAAAAAGAAGTCTTACAAATCAACAATAGACAAATAACCCAACTACAAGTGGACAAAGGATTTGAACAGACATTTCTCTAAAGAAGCCATACAAATTGCCAATAAGCACATGAGGCTCAACATCACTATTCACCAAGGAAATGCAAATTAAAACCACAGTGAGACACTGCTTCACTCCCACAGTAATAAAGGCTAAGACAGAAAAGATAATAACAATCGTTGGTGAGGATGTGAAGAAACTGGAACTGTTACACACTGATAGTAAGAATATGAGATGATATAGTCACTTTAGAAAACAGTCTAGTAGTTCCTCAAAAAGTTATATGTAGAGTTACCACATGACTCAGCTTATACCCAAGACAAATGAAAACATATGTCCACACAAAAACTCGTACTTGAATGTTCATAGCAGAAATATTAGAGTGGAAACAATTCAAACGTCCATCAAATGATGAATGGATAAAAAAATGTCATATGTCCATACAATGGAATATTATTCAGCCACAAAGAGGAATGAAGTACTGATACATTCTATACTTCATGGATGAAACTTGAAATCACATTATGCTAAATGAAGGAAGCAGATCACAAAAGACCATACATTACATGATTCCATTTATATTAAATATCCAGAACAGGCAAATCTACATAGAGATTTGTGAATTAGTGGTTGTCAGGGTCAGGGCAAGAGGGGATGGGAGAACTGGGCTGTGACTGCCAACAGGTATGGTGTTTCATTTGTGGGTGATAAAAATGTTCTAAGAATGAATGTTGTGATGGTTGCACGACTCTTTGAATACATGAAGAAAAAAAACCCACTGAACTATATACTTTAAGAGGATGAATTTTATGGTTTCTGAATGGTATCTCGATTTTTTAAAACAAGAAAAAGAAATCAGTATTTTTATCCCTTTACTTGCTTAGTTATTCTAAACATTACTAGTTTTTAACTAAATGAATGGACAAAGAAAAATACTAAAATAATTTTAAAAAATAATGTATGAGAATGTGGGGGGAAAAACAAAGGATCCATAAAAAGTAATCAGGTATATATACCTGACCCCCCTTCCCAATCATCTCTATCACTGTCTCTACCTCTACTTTTCCTATCTTATCTCATTTCTCATTTGTATATCTTACATGTAAATGACTTACTTGAAGCCAGGCTCTCTTTCTCTCTCAAAGGCTAGATCTAGCATTGTTGAATTAAAGTGAGAATCACAGAAATGAGGCTGTATAGCACTTTATAAAGTCCACAGATACTCATCTATGTTCTGTGTCAACTTCAACTAACAGGGAACTCACTACCTCTGCACGCAGTCCTTCCCATTATAGGGTAGTTTAACTTTTGCCAAGTTTTACTTTGGAGGACTGGATCTGAAATATGTACAACAAAATACTAACATCATGTTAAGGTGGCAAGATCATATCATTATTTTTTCTTATCTACTTTCTAAATTTTGACTCACTTATTTACCAAACTCATACCATGCACCACCTGAGGAGAAGGTGATGGCTACCCACACAGGTATTCTTGCCTGGAGAGTTCCACGGACAGAGGAGCCTAGTGGCCTTACAGTCCATGGGGCTGCAGAGTCGGACATGACTGAGCAACTAACACTTTCACTTTACCATGTACCGCAGAATATGCTAGGTAGGGAGTGAAAATTGAAAATTTGAAAGAGTGCTTGAGCCCATGAATTAAATGCGTTATTATTTGTGAAGTTCTTAAAACAATGCCTAATATTTAGTAAATGCTAATTTGTCTGTTAAATTAATAAAAAATAAAGAATTCATAGTATAGTAGGGATGAAGGAAATGGCGACCCACTCCAGTATTCTTGCCTGGAAAATTTTCATGGACAGAGAAGTCTGGCAGGCTATAGTCCATGGGGTCGCCCACAGTCAGACACGACTGACTGAGTGACTAAGCACATATCGTAGGGAAGAGCGATATGCAAACATATCGGTATAACAGAGGCATGTACAGGATGTCTTAGGAACACAAAGGACAGATGGGAAAGACAAAAGAGAAGTCTTCATCAGGACTTGGGTCTTGAAGGAAGAGAAAAACCTGAGTGAAGGCCAAGATATTAGCTACCAGACCACAGTAGGCTTCTGTCATGGTTGGCTGCCCTATAGCACTTGAACATGCCTGCTATAATTTTAAACACCCACCCAGTATCAGCCCCACCAATGAAGAATCCATGAAAACCACATTTATCAGTCTCTCTATCCCTTATAACAATACAGTAAGATGGCTTAGTTGTCATCCATGAAACAGATGCATATGGGGTGTAGTTTCACCCCTGTTTTGCTAGCATGGGTGGTAACAGAAGTGACATGGATATGGAATTGATGGCAGCAGACACATCTTTTTCATCACAACAATTTGACAAAGTGGTTCTGCTCCTTCATCAGATTATGTTTTGGCTGTGTGGTTCTGGAAGTTATTCCTATACTTAGATTATCTGGAGCCTGTTTTGAAACCCTCCTGGTTCATATCTCTTTATGTGTGTGTGTGTGTGTATGTATAAATATTCTATCTAAATTAATCAGAATAAATTATCTTATGTTTAATAATCTGGGCTATTGAAGTAACTCAAGTAATAGTAATAAGAGTCCAAACTAAGAGGGTTGGTAGATTGGATGGAAAAAATAAATAAAAGGAACCTGTAAATATTACATGACAATACTCTCTCCTTGAGGCTAAAGTGTACCTACCAGTTTCAATTTATCTTCATGTGACATGGTTCAGCATCTCTCTCAAATACCCTGTGGTTTGACAAATCCAAGGAAGGAAAGGATTTCCACGTCCTTCATCTTGAAATACTATACTTCTCAATTCAGCCTCTGATTTTATTACTTTATTGGCAAGTACATCATTCTGCTAAATCATATTGTGGTTGTTTCCATCAAAACCTCTAAATACTGCTCATATATGCTATACTATGTCTCTAACATCTCATAACATTCTGGTTAAGTTATAGTCTCCTGCAAATAGCATGTATCTGTATCCCCAACTAGAATCAACTCTGAAACACTGACAAGATTGAGTGTCTGTACTTGTAACACTTCACAGTCAGGCCTTAGAGTGTGGTAATGCCACCGTTGGCAATCTCTATGTAGAGAGTCTGCTCGCCTTCCAGTGACATTTCTTTTTTCTTTTTTTTTAATTGAAGGATAATTGCTTTACAGAATTTTGTTGTTTTATGTCAAACCTCAACATGAATCAGCCATAGGTATACATTCTGTGTTACCATATACCTCCAATTCAATTTTTAATGACACAGGGCAAAGATCATGCTATCAAGAGTAGAATCATGGAGGCAGGCAGGATAATAATGAGAATATGGAGAATATAGACCTCAGAGGAATGTCAAGATTAAGTGCGATCATGCACCCAGGCCTGGTGTATATTAACTAGCCATCAAAGTATGTTCGTGTTATTATTCATGTTCATGTTGTTATTACTTCCCTAGTCTCATTTCTTTCATTACCACTGTTCATCTTACCCCTTGTGTTTGAATAACACAAGATTATTCATCATTTTTCTACACATGCTATGCTCTTACACATTTCCATTACTTTGTTCATGATGCTGTTCTTTCTGCCTAGAATGCTGTCGACTTCACCACCCTCTCCCTCTGTTAACCCCCATCTCCTCCCACCCTAGCCAAATCCATATCAGGCTAACTCATATACCCCTGCTAATTCTTCAGATTTCCCTCAAAGCATCTTGTTTAGAAGTGACCATCTTCATGCTATTCTTCCATATTAATTTCCTATACTATAGCACTTAAAATGAAACTCTGTAATAAATCCATCTACCTTAAACTATAAACTGAGGGCAGAAACTAGGTTCTTTTTTTATCTTTGTATTCCCAAGCAAAGAGTATGCAATCCTGGAATGCACCAAGCATTTAATAAATATTTGCTGAACTAATGTGATA